CCCCAACCTGCTCCCAGTCTGGCCTTGTAGCTCAGCTGGTAGAGCACCGAAGGTCCCAATAAGGTCGGAAATTAATTCTTCCAAATTTATTCCTAAGGKTCTTTCTCCCGGAATTGCCTCCTTCTAAGCACTATAACTTTCTTTCATTTCTATATCGTTCTAAAATAAACTAGTTTAAAAMTAGATCCATTACTTCAAAATGAAATAAGTAAATTGTTGTAAAGCGTTTTTATACACGAAGGAAGACATCCTTGGTCTACTTGTTCTTACCCTCGAGGATTATATTTGTGTCGTTTATATTTMCTTTGCTCCTCATCACACTTGACAGGTTCCTAGGGATCGGGAAGAAAGAGCTGGCTTTATATTCCTGTATAGTTATGTTCTTCAATACAATTAATGGGGGAAGTTTCGGTGGTGGTAAATATTCTGGTGATGATTTCTTTTCGATTTTGTTGACAGTGTTTTCATWGGTAGTATTTCCATTGCTTCTCGAGCTGTTCATAGCATCTGGAAAGAAAACAATTCATTATGTGAAATTATTCCCGCGGTTTTGTGTAATTGAGAAGGCACTTTTGAAATTCTATAAGGGCTTATAAAACTCATTAATATTCATAAGGCAAAACACAATAGAAATCATAGCCCATGAAGAGAGTTGTATATTACATACAGATTTCTTGTTCATTTGCATAAACTTTTACTCTGATTTTCTCAGTCAGATTGAATTTGTTTTCAAAAGTTTCTTTAAAACCTGAGCTAATTTACCTTAACGTTTCATAAGTAATATACAATATTCGCGTGCGATCTGTATGAGGATTTAAAACAGCTCGCTTTCAGCTCGCTGTTTTAAATCCTCATACAGATCGCCCGCTCATATTGTATATATTACATAAAATGATGTTCCACCAACTGAATATATATAAAGACACATCATAGTTCGAACAATGGAAACGACTTTTTAAGTGGACAAGATTTTCAAGATAAGGAAAAAKAGAACGGAAGCAAGACAATTAAA